ATTTAAGACTACGTAGTTTTTTTTACGTGGTGAAATTAATTTTTATCTTCTTTTTTTTTCTGACGGAACCTAGTGGCGGAGCCAGGAGTTTGATCTACAGGGGGCTCAGCCCAGAAATTTTCTAAACTCCGTCAGAGGTAAACTCATTTAAATTTAATGCTCGAAATCTATTAATTTTTTAAAGGGGGCTCAGCCCCCTCTCGCTCATAGCTGGCTCCGCCACTAACGGAATCCTTGAATTGATCGAATTTTCAGGAAATACTCTAACCACGTTATTGAAACGGATTGAATCGTAGAAAGTTAAGTAATAAAGCTTTGAATCCCGGGATTTTCTGGAAGCCTCCTAGAGAACCTCAACACGTAAAACTCAAAGTTTGTAACTTTCTACGATTCAATCCGTTTCAATAACGTGGTTAGAGTATTTCCTGAAAATTCGAACCAGTTTGAATGTAAAATGACTGAATCACGTCAATTTGAAGTTCTATGGTCTATAAGCAAAAACTTGGTTTTGGGAAAATAAGCTCCTACCGACCTCGACTTTCATTTTAACTCAAAACAAACATTGCCACGATAATCAGCACAACCATGTGTCAACACTTTTTCAGGTTCTCCACCGCGTCCGGACAAAGATAGGCATATTCGCGGAAAACCTTTATAACTCCTGAAGCACGAGAGATAGCGAGCCAGGACTAGTCTAGACTTGTAGAACTTGAGTTGGGCGATCTTTTCGACGTCTAGGAATTCAAAATCCGAAAATTTTTTAGTGACCGGAAAACTCTTACAAAATGTCCACACAAGGTATACCACCTAAAAGTACTCGAAAAAACCTTTTCTCTTACTTTCTTGTTGCCCCAAGATTTTACTTTCAGATAACGAAAACCGCAGGGCTCCAGCATCTTCCAGTGCTACAGTTCCAGTGACATGACGGGCCTTCTTTTTTGAAATGGATAGTGTTATTATTTGCCACATATGTTACTGAAAACACATTAGATTTTCTAAAGTATGTTCGAGAAAACCTATTGAATTTTCCTAAAGTTTAAAAACAAAAAATTGCGAAACCTGCTAGGAAGAATGGTTGACAAAAAAATATCGATAGATTATTTCTAATTAAACTTCAGTCCAGTTCAACTCCTTTACTTTTGGGTTTTTCGAACCCAACTTGTTTATGTTCAAACACAAATTTTGTCTATCTATTCTAACGAAAGTAGAATTTATAACGAGTCTAACTTTTTGATGAAATTTGTTAACTTTTCACTTTCAGAAAATAATTTTAAACTCTTCAGTGTGTAAACAATAATTTTTTCCCAAATAGCTAAAATTTTTGATGTTTTCTGCCTTATAATAATATATCCATTTTAGAACTACCTTCAGGAACAATTTAATCAAAATATCTGCCAAATTCTTGTATGAAGATCTTTTAATTATCCGCTAAGGTGCACCAATAATGCAAACTTACAGCAAAATTTTTGTTCGATCTTATTATACATCGTTGAATAGAGGGCGGGTCGAGCTGATTGCAAAAGTGTATTATTTAACTTTTCAAAACCGATTTTTCATATCGAAAAATTGAAAAAACTCGGAAAATCTCAAAAGTCGAAAAATCCTTCGCCATAGAAAAAGTTCGATTTTTTGCCTTATTTTTTCTGCTTATAATTTTAAAACATTTTTTTTTCAATTCTGACTCAGCGTTAAAAACTGAATAGAAAAATGATATTTGATCAGTTTCAAACTTAAAAGCTCCCCTACCATAGACGTCGCTACCTGGCCGTCTTAAGTGAAAATACACATTCTTGCAAACCTATCTAGTTTTTTATGGGTCATTGGACCTTTCATTTACATGTCAATAGATCACTTGATGTTCGGCTTTAAAAATATGTCGAGCTTTTTTTCAAATTTTTTTTTGTTGATAAGAAAATTTATTTTTTCTGAATCAGAGGTGAAAGTCGCAATTCTCAATTTTCTCGATCAGAACTCAACTTTTGAGAAATAAAAGTATCATATTCGGAATTAGGATCAGAAACTGAGTCGACAAATATGTATTTCGAAATTTTCAGTTGTTTTTCATTTTTTAGTGAAAATCTCGATGATTTCTCAACGTGAAAATTCGAACTACTGTCGGATAGGATTTTTGAAAAATTTTACTATAAGTTTACATTATTAGGCCCTTAAATATAAAGTCATTTTTCAGAGTATGAGAAATAAATCATTTTTTAACCAACATGACAAACTTGTACATTAGTGATTCATTTTTTTTTCAAGTGTTATTATGAAAGAATAGCAATATATCTTTTCGATAAAATAAAAATCATGAAAATGTTGACATCTTTTTGTATGAGTAAAAAGGAAAAATGAGTCATTCGTATTATTCAGTAAATAAATGGGTTTATAAAAGTAAAACAATTATAGAAAGACATTTTAAAAGTATGAATATCAATAAAACAAACAAAAGTTTGTATCAAAAATAATTTATCAAAAATATGAAAAGAGTAGAAAAAATAAATCACATAAAAAGTGTATCCGAATTAGGAATGATACATTGTTGTGAAGGAAGGCGGATTAAATAAAATAAATGCATACATACTTGCGTATACTGGAAAAATGAGATTTAATTGAGAGAAAAACACTGAAAAAAAATGATATAGAGAACTTTTCACAATTATAAGATCCTTCGTATGAATGGCACTAAAAGTGACATAGTTTATCAATTACAAAATTTTCTTTCTGACATCAATAGGCACATGTCTAAGCGATAGTTTCACATTTTCTCTTTGTTTCTAGGTCAGTTAATACTGAGACAAAGCCAATACATTGAAAAAAAGCATGTTGCACAATTATAGAATTTTTGACATCTTGCATTTTTTCTGTTTATTTCCATTTAACTCTAGTGATAAATTTAAAAAACAGTATGGTTCGGATAGAAAATTTTAAGAACTATATTTTGATAAAAAATACCTTTTTGTATCGACAGACATTATGAATTTTTGTTTTATTTTCTGCTGTCTTTCGTCTACTTTTTAGATGAAACGTGCACCACGTGATCTAGAGAACTATGAAAACTAAAAAAGTTCTGGAAAAGGTAGAATATTCTCCCGATATTGGAGATTGATCAATGCACATTTTTCTCTCAAGTAACGGTCCAGATTCGGCGCCATAAGCTACACAAGTGGAAGACAAATGTGTTTTGGACTTAGATAATTATTGTTATCTTTGTCCGACGCCATTTAGTCACAGAATGAAAAATAATTTCTTTCTGTTTTTCAAATTTTCTTCATTGTTGTTTTATATTATAAGAGAAAATCAAAGCAAAAACACAATGCTAACAGTCTACTGATAGGATCTGCTTGGAGCAGTAGGTTCAGTTCGAGACGGAGTCTGTCGAAATCGTAATTTGTGCGCAGCGCAATTGCAATATAGTTGATGTTGAAATTTCAGTTTTAAGCAAAGAAAGTGAAAAAGTTAACATATTTAAATATGAAATAAAAATTTTTTTTCAACTATACCATTCGAAAGAGTAGGGAAAAAAAACTGCATCTAGCAGTAGTATTAGAACTAAAATGTCGAGTTAGTTATTTCAGTTTGTTTAAAATAATTTACTAAAATCTCTCATTACAACTGGTTAAATTGCATCCTTTGCCTACATAAAGTGTGTTAAAATATTTTTTGCATAGTCGTAAAGTTAAAATAAATTTTGCACAAAATAAGCTATTGTACGCTTTTCTAAAATATTATTGTAGAAAAGCGTAAGTACTCTTTAGTCTCGTTCATTCGCCTTCATTTATGGCGTAGATAATCGTAGCTGAAAACGACTCTTGTACAACTCATAGGGGTTCTGTACTAGGGCTGTGGCAGTTACCAGTTACTGTTACCACTGTTACTCGGTAACTGTAACTGCTGAACAGTTGACGTTCTTGGTAACGGTAACGGGTAAGCAATTACCGTACAAGTAACGATAACGATCAGTTACAAGTAACGGTAACTGTTCAGTATATCTTTCAAGAGCCAAATCTCTAAATATCTAGGTATCCAGGGTGAGGGTTAGGCTACGAACTTTCACCCTCACCCTGGATACCTAGATATTTAGAGATTTGGCTCTTGAAAGATATACTGAACAGTTACCGTTACTTGTAACTGATCGTTATCGTTACTTGTACGGTAACTGCTTACCCGTTACCGTTACCAAGAACATCAACTGTTCAGCAGCCACAGTTACTGTAACGCTAATGGTAACTGTCACAGCCCTATTCTGTACTAGCTTTTTCTCTCTATTAACTAACCTCAAAACAACGAGACAATGTGGAACTATCGCTTAGACACATGACTGTTGATGTCAGAAAGAAGATTTTGTGATTGGCAAACTATGTCAGTTTTAGTGTAATTCATACGAAGGATCCTATAATTTTGCAAAGTTCGGTATATGTCTGTTCCATCAACGTTTTGACCAGGAAGACCGCGTCCACAAGATTTCAACGGTTTGTTAAGAGGTTTTCTTTGCATTGCCAAAACCAGAATGTACGAGTAAATAAAGAATAGTTTGAGCATTCCAAGGTTAAAATAAAAAGGATGTAAATATGGCTAAAAAAATCACGACAAATTGTAAAATGAATAGATTACTGAAGGAAGAAAGGCACAAGCAATTATTAGTTTTATGACTAGGTTGCTAAAAAAGTAGTTAGCACGGATACTTTTACTAAAAATCCTCATTCTCTAAAATGAAAAGTAGAGAAATTAAGGTTATAACTTTAGTAAATCAACACTGTACAAAGACGTTTGTTTTGCACCAACACGAAACCATCTTAAATAAACTACCTGTTACAAAATTTCTTCTACTTAACACGATTATAAATTCAGTGTAGCTTTTTAGAGAATAAATGCGCGAAAAAATGTGATGTCATCAAAGAGAAATCATATCCCAAAGAGAAAAACTGCTTCAACACGAACTATTTTAGAAGAAGGCTCATCTTATTCAAAATACTTACGGATATTTTGAGATTTATAACTTGTTAATTATCCACACGTCGGTCCACATTGGTCATCCATTCGCGATAGATTTTTTCCCATGCGGCAATCTTTAAATAAATTAATACATTTCAAAAGAAATAAAAATTAACAATATTTTTTCTGTTTACTTGTTTTTTTGCTTCTTCTTCTTTCTTCCATAAATCATCCATTTTTTCATGTAGTTGCTCTTGCATTAATTTAATAGCATTCTAAATGAAATAATTCATAACATTATGGAAACAAAATGAAGAAATAAGAGTAGAACGATGAAAACTGACTTTAAAATCTTTATTTTCAATTTTTAATGCTTCGGTCAGATTTTTTGTTTCAATAACCTTTCCGTTCATATTTTCAACTGCACTATCCAACATCTGAAGAAAAAAAACATTCATCGATCAATTTTTATACCATTTTTATACACTCATAGACTATTACTCACCTCTTTCATACTTCGTTCATCTTCGGTAGCTACTTTTTCATTTTGTACTAGTTGATTTAATTGTTTGGTATTCTGTTTTTCAATCTCTAATAGTTGTTCTAGATCCGGACACATTTTACATGGTTCACTTAGCTGTGGTAATTGTTGTTGTTTTTCTTTGTTTAAATTTTTTAATTCTTGTTGTTCAACCATTTTTTTCAATTGTTGATTGGATCTTTTTTCTGTTTCTAACATGTGTTCATAATTGTCACATTTATCGCAATGTTGTGGTTTCTCGGGACGATTTAAACTAAAATAAGCGATAATTCGCGTATAGAACTTTCAATGTATAAGATTAAGATTGAAAAATCTCAGAATAATATTCTTTACCCTGGCATACTTGTATTGACATATTCTTTTTCTACTTTAACCATTGTCGTTGCTTTTGCTCGTCGTAACTCATCTAATTTTGTTTTATAATCGCTGTTTTGACGTTCAAGCTATTAAAGAGAAGAAAAGAGATAAAATAGTTGAATTTCACGGAAACCAAGTCAATTTGTTTATTTACCTCTGTAATTTTCGTTTTTAAGGTTAGAGCATCGTCGTTTTTCGAACTACCCACAGGCATTTTCGGTGAGGTCATGTTTAATCTTTTGTGGATCTTAAATTAAATGAATGAATAATCAAAAAATAAGAGTCATTGTTATTCGTTATGATAAAAGAGAGTTCAATTTTCACGATGTTAAAGAATAGGTTTGAACTGGTACCATCTTCGGTGCATAACTGAACAATAGATCATGTGACAGAACGCTAATACCTCAATACCATCGTGGAGAAAATTTTGATAAAGCAAAGGTTTGCTAGAGACGATGAGTGTCTCAAACTCAAAGTTCCCTACATCTTGGATTTCTGTGAAAGTCTAGGTCATTTATCTTTTTTTAAACAGTGAACCAAACGTATATTCATAATTGTTATAAGTAGCATGCAGTTTAAGTAAAGAAGCAAGAACTGATATTATTATTTTCTTTTCACTATCATTTCATTCCGTTATTTGTATGGACAAAGAGGCTTACCAATAATGTAAACCTTTTATAGAGGGCACTTTATGTCATCAACTGTTATCGAAGAGTAACAAATTAATTTCAGGCAACCCTTTATAGCGTGCCTTCTAATGGACACTGACCGAAAAACGCACAATGAGATTTTTGGCACGTTCAACTTAATGGGGTTAAACTTCATTATCAGAGATAGCCGTTCCTTCACTCTGAAAAGTAATGGTTTTCCGTTACTGATTACTATAGTAACAGAAGCAGAGTAATTTTAGAAATAATTGTAACTCTGTAAACTTTGTTCAAAGAGTCAACAAATGAATTAACGAGTTGTTTCAACCAAAAAAAGAAATTTTCTCGTTACTTTTCCAGAAGTAACATGAGTAACATATTTCCATTATCTGTTACAGTAACGATAAAGGGAAAGTGCCTCAAAATTTGCCTGATCATTCTTCTGTGCTTAGTTACTCATGCTCTTCTGGCTCTAAATCAGCATAATTTTACAAATAAATTCAAATTTTTACCGTCAAAAATCAGCTTCAAAGCAGAATAAAGGTATTGTAAAGGATATTGTAATTCTCACTAAAGACTGAGTTGAATAGTGTGTTATTCAAAGTAAAAAGTCTTTCTTTTCGTCCACATATTGTCTTAGGGACAAAGGACATTTTTCAATATTTTTCTTATGATCGGCAGCTCATCTGACTTGTAGTTTTGTAATCCAAAAATGGGAGTAAAGGGTCCATGACTTCCTCCAAAACGGGAGTAAATGGGTCTTGATTTTGTTCAAAATCGGAGTAAATCACTCTCCAAGTTTCTCCGAAATGAGAGTAAATCGTTCTTATCTTTTCCCAAATTTGGGAGTAAATCGTTCATATTTTTTTCACAAATTGGGAGTAAATTTGACCAAATTTTTTAAAAAGTATGGGGGGGGGGTAACCCCCCCTGTTTTGTTCAACTTGAAGTTTTGCCAAAAGCAAATAATTTCTCTACACAGTACCTATTAACGTGACCTACGGATTCTGGCTTCTACGATAGCCTCATACATATTTTTGCAGACTTTCAAACTATTCCACTTTGTAGGACTACCTTCTTTGTATGAAATACCACTAGTAGTTTTTCCTTTGATTAGTTAATTTTATCTGAGAAGAATTTGTATTACATTTTTGCACTTTCCCAGATACTAGTACAAAACAACTATGGCTAAAGAAATTCACGCCACCCAGTCATTTTTGAACAAAAGCATAATTATTTTGTTATGTGACAGCAGGCACCGTCTACTTTATTTTATTGTAAAGAATCATTTCTGTTTCATTCATAAACCCAAACATTTTTCAAGCAGCAACAAAAAGTTCCAATCATATCAAATAAAACTTGAAACATTCCTCTATCCAACAAAAAAAATAACCTTGAAGTTTAGTTAACAAATAGCGTTAAGCTCATGTAATGGTTTCGATCAGCATTGATTCGAGCTGTTTGGTACTGTTCTTCGTTTTATTATTTTGATCAACAACGAATTTATATTGAATCAACTTTTCTTGCCAATGGTTATTCAGTTGATTAAGTTGAAGCACAAGTTCGAGAATTTTATGCTGCATTTAATATTCCTATAACATATGGCAATAAAATAGGCTATTATCATGATGCACTTCGTGCTCGATTATATCGTTTAGTTGATCAACAGCAAAACCACCATGAAATCGAGCAAACATTGGATAATAATGATCAACTCGTTCGTTTACGTTACTTATTTGATTTGAGGTCAGCGTAAAGAGTTTAATGTAAAATTTCATAAACTTTGGTCTGATATACTCGAAGAAGATACAATCTTTGCCAATGTCAATTTAAAAATACAATTGAAATCTCAGCATTGTTATTCATCTAATGCTATTGTTCATTGATCATATCCACAGAATAATCAATAGATTTCATTTCCTGTTCTTCAATTCTGAACTATACTTGTTTCTTTCTTATTTTAGAAATACTCGTTTATTCAAGATACTCGTATGCAATCATTATCGTTATTCGCTATTTTATCTTTATTTTCTTTTTGTTTCACTTTTTGATTATTCATTTATTCATGAAAAGCATATTTTTACCCTTTTTGATACTTGCATATGATTGTCAAACACTTTATGTCTCTTTTTCTTCTTGTTTCTCTCAGATATATGCCCTAATGAGCAGCTTCTTTCAAAAGAGCACAAAACGCGTCGAAAAATACGTTTTATACATATTACTATCAGAGCTGGGCAAAATACTCGAAGTACTCGTACTCGAGGGATCGATACTCGTACTTGTACTCGAGGTGGTCAGTACTCGATAATCTAATATTTAAAATTCCAGATGAAGTGTGTGTTATTTATGTGAGGAAAGTCGTGAAGAAGATTTACTTTTTCTAAAAAGCACATCTATCCAGGATTATATCAACTTCCTCTAAAATATCTAACGGTGCCTGCGACATCGGCTTCTATCGAACGCGTTTTCTCGCAAAGTGGTTTTCT